TTGTCTCTGCTCGATGAGAAATTAAAAGCATTTCACATCATTTCAGCATGCACCTGTGTGATGCAGACAGTATTTCTTGAGGTTTGAAGGCCCATTATTTTCACCTCACAAGCAAATATACTCATGCAGTATTAGGTTTATCTCGGTGAAACTTCACACTGGATGGACTGCCTGGAGCAGGCAAAACCATACATGCATGCACTCATCAACCTTGTCTGTTCAGAAAAGGGAAGCGTCAATCCATCCAAAAAGACGCAAAATACGTTTTCTCAGTTTCAGATGGCCGCAGGGAAGGTTTTGCTCAGTCAGATGGTCTGGTTTGACATCGTCGGCCTCGTCTCCACCGGCTATGGGCCATCCCTTGGTACAAACCACGCTTCTCGCCTGGATTCCAATGTTTTTGATCTGAAAGAAACCTCAGGATGTGAAAATTGGGTTGCGAAGTCTCTCTATGAGATTCACGCTCTTCGAACTTGGAAAGCGGAGGAGGTCGGTGCCCAACGGTTGAGTATCATTGAACTTGCCGAACGAGGAGGGGCGATATTGGAGATCCTGAAACAAGGCATTGCTGCAATCGAAGGGGATCTAGTGCCCAACACAGAGACACAGAAAAGGTTCAACGATGGCGACGATTCAGCTGGGGCTGTGCCTCTGGAGCAAGATCTCAAAAGAGTCACCATGGCCTATGATATAGCTGCGGTCATCTATTTGCACGTTATCATCTCAGGGCCAACACCTCTTCTGGAAGACATACGACAAGAAACTCCGCGCTTTGTGAAGTATCTGAAAATACTTGCAAGTAGGGGCTTGCTCTGTCATGTATCATTGCCTCTCTGTGTGGCGAGTTGCTTCATGGAAGATCACGACTTTAATTTCTTTAAGGAGTTTGTTTCGACAAGTCGACATTCAAGGTCCGAGCGCTTTGAAACTTGCGAGAGGGCCATCATGATTGCACAAGAATGCCGCAAGCAACGGCAAGATGGCAGGCGCTGTGACTGGATTAATGTCACACAAGAGTTAGGTTGGAAGTTCTTGCTTGTGTAAGGCAGTTGATGCAAGACTCCTCAGCGAAAGTGATAAGAACAGGTTGCATGCTAGTGATAAAATATGGTTATGACCAGTAAAAGCGGTCAGACTGCATAAACGAAAGATTCATGTTGTAGTTGTGATCTATGCAAGTTGTGTTCATCAGTGAATCACGGGGTCAATCAAAAGGCAAAGCGGGTTCCGTCCCAAACCAGCTATTCATAAAGTTTCATTGATTTGAACTATTTCATTCTGACTCGCGCGGACCAAAAGGCTTGCTGATTTTTCTCCGTCAAAACCAAAAGATATCCAACATTGCACAACAGTACACAACGCCGATAGGTCTACAGTACTTTCAAATGCTTCCTAGAGCGACAAATTTCAAAATGCACCACTGAAGGTATTTTGTGTGGGTTGATCTCACATATCATTGAAATGATCGAGTAGGATTGCTGTCATTATCAAGCATACTTGAATGCATAAGCCCAGATCTCATCCCAATTCTTGCATTCGTGGGGATAGTCCAATCCATCTACCACAGCACGTCCAGTGTTTTCAGAAACAAATTCGAGAGATGTGTCACCAGAACACTGGACAGCCTGCCTCAGATAGTCGAAGCAGTGAGCGATATGCCAAAGACCATGGATGGCCTGGTCATAAGTTGGTGAAGTCACATTCTCCGGCCACTGTTGCAGCATTTTCTTCGTATCCACCTTGTCGTAGATAACTTCCCACATGAACTTGCGCAATGCACCCTGTAGAGATTAGCTATTCCGAAACATCGTCGATCGTTGATGTAGGCAGACCTACCAGGCAATGAAGTTGATGGAACACAGAAAGTCCTGCAATTTTGTCGGGAAAATCAAAGCCGGAGTCGGCCTCCAAATTTATAAAGCCACGACCGTTAGCTGAACGCGAGATCATCAGCGTTGATGCAGTGCAATTGCTTCTCTCACAGTCATCGTGGACTTACGGCCTGGCAAGCCTTCCCAGGCCGCGTTGCTCTCTTCTGATGGCAAAGAGAGAAATAAAGGATCGAGCTTAAATGTTCGCACATGTTGTGAAACTGTAGAACGTTAGCAAGGATGCGTTGTGAGATTTGAGCGGTAATTCCAGAACACACATTGGGGAACTGGAGATGGGAGCAGGCGCTTAGGCCTTTGGTAGGACCATATCCCGGAATACAGAGCGGCTAGAGATAGAAATAACAAGAGGTTGATAGCCAGAGAGACGAGGAGCTTCTTTCGTGAATAGCTCGGTTTCGCTAGCATGGACGATTCAAGGTGTATCTCAGCCTCGGATTCGTTGCTATCACCTTGCTTCAAAGACTCGTATGCTGCATCATTGGCTTTGCGTTTCGACCAGGGAAGATAAGACGCCATACTCGAAATTTTAAAGTGTGGAGATTCCACAACAGAGTGCTGACGAGACCTTGTGAGTACTAGGTAGACTTAGCAAGCAACTCAATAAGGCTTTTCAAATACGTTTTCTTTCCCTTTGGAAATTCCAAGGTACTTTTGAAGTTTGTAGTGTAATTGATGTTTTTTATCTTATCGGGGAGAGTCACTGCACACTTTCATTCTGGTCACGCGTCACGCTTATCAATTGCCGCCGACTTGGCGCCACGAACAACACAGCGTCCGATGGCGCTTTGCATAGGTAGCTGCGGGACGCGGCGCCAAGCCGGCGGCAGTCCATCGTGACGCCCGACCTGATATCGAATGAATGTGTTCGGTGTTCTTTTGTTGCGAGACTAGGGGGTTAAAGCAACACTCCTTTGTCGGCATTTCTATTATGGTAATAACGCAATCTCTTTTCGCGCGTAGAATTGTATCGCTTGGAACTTCTGGACACATCTTGACGTCTTGTTGAAACGTGCAGCCCTATTCGGTCTGAATTCACATAGTCCGCCGTGCTTTTAGCCCCATTGCAATACATTCGTTGCATGCAACCACGAGAAATGGAGAACAAAGCACTGGATTTGGCGTTGACTGTCTGGAGATTCGTCAGAACTCGAGTTGGGCCGATGCCAAACGACTCAAAGGCGCTTTACGGAAGGGTCTCCTCCACTGACGCCCACCTCGCTTCCCAAGAGACCCTGTTTGAGTACGAGGAGGGTTCAAACGACAGAACTTTAATCACGTCCAGGCTATACAAGAGGTGTATTTGGTCTATCAAGGCTGCGTTTCTTGTCTCCTACGTATTGCTGGCCTATCTTGTTTTCGTCACCAAGGGCTCAGTTCTGTGTGTCCTTGGAAACGAAGGTAGGTGAAACTATTCTGATAGATCTCCGTAGATTACAAGACTGAAATTAAGTGTTACCTATTCAAGCAATTTTCGACGATTCGCCAGTCATCTATGAGACTGTTCGGTTCCAGCGTGCCGGCTTCCATGACCGCCGGCATAACACGAACACTCTATACGAAGGACCTCCAAACAAGCAGAAAGAGGCCGCATGGGATCGCTTGTTGAGTGGTAAGTAGTTCCGGATCAACAACGACTGAAAATTCAAGGATCCTAATCTCTGATAAATCAGTTGGTGTTGTCGCCATCTCAGAGCAAGAAAGCTCCAGGATCACGAACGGCACTGCTTCAGCGGTTGGAGATTCCAAAAAGCATATTGTGGAACTTGGAATGTTTCACCAATTTCACTGCCTTGTGGGTATACACTGATATTTTGATCATTAACAAAACGACAGTTGCTGATATTATATACAGAAATGGCTCCATGATCAGTTTTGGCATCTCAACGCAGCTGTCACGGCATCCCACAAACTCGATGATTTTCCTCAGCGAGTAAATCACACAGGTACCGCCATTTTCTTTCAATCATATGAAACAGAAAAAGCGCTAATTTAACAACAATAGACCACTGCATTGACTACCTTAGGCAGGTCATCATGTGCCATGGCAATATAACACCCATCACGTTTGAGTGGATTCCTGATATTGACGGTTACATCGCCCACCACAGCACCGCGCATATGTGCCGCAACTTCGATGCCATATTCGACTGGGCTGCAGTTAGAAACACGACTGGCCTAGAAACAGACGGAGAGCATCAGAACAAGGAATTGAAGCATGCAGAAGATTTTGATTGATGAGCAAAGCCAGATCTCTGCTCCAGAGCGTAGTCGTGTACATTATTTATTTTTTCTCCAGCCTTCAAAATTTTCATTCTGTTATAAGCTACTGTAGCGAGGTACATGTTCGGCGACCGAGCCCCTTGAATAATTGGCTTTCTTTGTGACTTGTCTGTTCTTTTTTCGTTGAACTGCCTACAACTGGAACTGGGCGTCGCGAGCATGTCAGGACAGCCAAATGTGGCACGAAGCACGAGCTTCGAGGATAATGCCCCTGCATCACTGCCTCATGTTCTGCACTATGTGATTCCAACAGCCATCCCCAACTGGCTTGACTGTAACACTGGAATTGGGGCTTGAGCGCTCAGTTTCCCAGCGTAATTGAATCGGTTTCCTATCTAAATCACACATGACTTTTTGTCCCCGCCTCTCACACAGTTGTACTATGAAAATGCAATAATCTTGACATGCAGATGACTGATGTCCTCCGTCGACGCCACATTCGGTCCCGGCGTCACGCCCAAAGTAAGTCATGCAAGATCCTAGTGGCCTGGCCAGTGAATTTATTCTGTTTGGAGGGAGGTTCAAGGCGTGACGCCGATAACTAAATGCGCGGGGCGACTTTTGCAGCTCCAGGATGCATGGTATGGGAACAGTCTCCCTAGCGGCGCGCCCGCTCTTTTCCCCGATCGGCGGCATTGCAAACAGTTGATTCGATTTCTTGTGGCCAATAGAGCAATCTGGGTCCCTTAGACCAACGCGTTGATCAAAGGCCGGGTATATTAGAGGTGACGGGAGAATGGGTTGGATGATGTTGCACACAGGATCGTCTCTAACACAATAACAAACTGCAAACCCCAAGGTTCTCCAAAACCAGTCCCGTCAAACAATATGCAATTCTTCAAGCTTCTTGCTCTCTTCGCTGCCGCGACTGCCGCCGCCCCTGCACCGGCCCCTGAACCTCAGGCATGCCTCGCCGAAATCAAGGAGAACGTCGCTGAGTCGGCCGCTGTCTACAAAAGATGTGCCTACAACTGGATTAGACGGGATGGCGTCTCTACACGTCAGGCCTGTCTTACAGAGCTCGAAGAATCTGCCGCCGAGGTCTCCGAGAAGTACAAGCGATGCGCTTACAACTGGATCAAGCGCGACGAGCTCGCCGTTCGGGCACCTTTCCCTCAGGCCTGTCTTACTCAGGTCAACGAAGCCAGCACAGAGGCTGATGCCGTCTATAAGAGATGCGCTTACAACTGGATCAAGCGGGATGGACACAACCTTTCTGCCCGTCAGGCTTGTCTCACTGAGGTCGATGAGGCTGTTGCCGACGGTTCTGAGAAATACAAGCGCTGTGCCTACAACTGGATCAAGTGAACCACCCTTGGTAAGAACTTCTATCCGAGTATTCAATAAATAGGGAGAAACTTTTTACTAACCTTGAATTTTACAAGGTAACTGACGCTATATAAACGCGCAGGGGCTTCACGCTATGCGATATAGATTCAACCCATTCTCGGGTGTATCAAGGGAATCGATGTACTCGGGTTGTCTAAAGATCATGGGAAAAAGGGAAGAACCTGGCAAAGCATTACACTCTCTCTTTTCAATGAGACTTTTCTTTGTCCTGTCGTCCATATTCTCCGCAAACGAGACAGCTTTGAAATTCAGAACACTACGTCTTCCGCATGATGTATCCCTTATTCCATCCAAGATCGTGGCAGAGTAATAGTGGTGTGCCAGCCCGGATGGCTAATTGACACTGCCCCAACAGTCTTTACATGCTTCAATATGACTTCCTAGGAGATTCCCATGAGCCTCAGAATAGCCGCGCTGAGGTCACGCTGCTTAGATTGTGTACACGACAGATTTCCTGGGTATGGCTAGGACTTACCTGGCTTCAAGAAGCTGCTTCCCAGTCTTCAGTCTGAGGACATTGCATCAGCATGGAGGATTCAACTTCGGATACTAGAAGCTTACTCCGAACACATGTCGCGCAAGAGGTACACTCGCCGTCGGAAAAGGCTTACCAAGTCTCGATCTTTGGAGAATTGATAAAGCCTCCATTATTGGAATACCCTCAAAAACGGATCTCGTGTGTTTGTGGGCCTTGGGCTGGCTCGTATGTTTCTTCGACCTCTTCTTGGACGTTTCGCCTTCCGACACAAGTCGTCCGTCATAGAATACTTGCGACGCATGGAAACTACGCTCCTCGTGCCTGATCGCATGCGCGTCATCGCCAACTGCCCAGAAGGCATGACGGATGGTTTCTATCAACTCACTGTCTTATGGGCTCTCGGTGCGATCTTTTTTGTCATCCTTATAATAGACTGCCACATCAGCATGTGCCTCTCGTCGCGGCCTGTGGAAAAAAAAACTGTTTTATATTCCTTCGTCTAGTTCATCGCAATGGGTCTTTACATGTACCCAGCGGGTTGGTGATTTGTCGCTGCTTTTCACCGAAAGCCATTGGAAAGGGCACATGCCGAGACATCGAGTTTAGCAGGTGTGGCAGGGCGACCACCCGTTGAGTAAGAAGCTTGCCATGTTCATGTTCCCTATATTTATTGTTGTACTGACATCGGATTGACAGACTACGGGGTGGGGTCGCAGATGCACCAGAATCACACCTCCAGTAGCTTGGAGAGTCTTCAATGTCCATTTCTCGGATAGCGACCTGTCATTGAAGGCATATGAAAAGCATACTGGCTCTCATACCTTTGTGCGCGGGGTTCAAGAAACAGATGAAAGGACAACTCGCCCACAGTCTCATTAGTAGCAATCCCAATAGTAAGAACAACACCGTGCCACGAGAAGCTACGAATGAGACCGCTTAGATTGGCCGTGTTTCAGCGGCGACACTTTCTATGTCATTCTACGTGGAGTTTTGTCCCGATTGCGGACACTAGGAAGCTCTGTCAGTGGACAAATAAACGTTTTCCTGCAGCTACCTATATACACATTGATCCAGTACCTCGAAAAATTACCATTCTTGTGTGAGTATCCTTGGGCAGTGCAGATCTCCCGCGGACATCTCCACTTTCCTGAAAAGACAGCTCCCAAGGACTCAGCCGCTGTTAGCAACCTGCCTCCGGTGTTCCTAACTCCCCGAGACGACGTCTCCGAAGATGACTAGTTGAATACGCGTTTTGATGAAAGCGACATCGCATGCAGACCAGTCGCAGCCACTACGTCTCCGCAAACCAGGGTATTTTAATCTTCTTTGAGCAAGGCTTTAAATAAGGTGAGTGGGGCTATTTGCGTCCATGTCAACTGAACAAGTCGGCGTCCTCGCCTCATCATTCCCCTCATTGAATGGATGTCGTTATGGTCTCGTGGCTTATTTCGCGAACCGCGCGTTCATTTTGCGTATGGAGATGGCCGGGCTTTAAATGGTCCAGTGCGGCCGAGGCAGAACCACCAGAACTGCCCCTGTCTAAGTGCGAATGATTGTTGATGGGCCATGACCAGAGAGGCAACATGGTCCAGAGCGCCTGCTGCTAAACATTTGCGTCGTCATCTGTCAATATCTTTTGGGTAACCTTGCCCGGAGTGATGATCAAGCGCGCAGGGGATCAACTCCGGTAACATAAGTATGTACGTGGTTGGCGTGCTCATGACTTCCTTGAACTAGCTGCTAGATTACTTTGCGCATAGATACCGCTCACCGACTCCAGTGCAACATTCACTATGCACTCTTCCCTCGCCTTTGGTACAGGCCTTTTCGCCATCACGGTCTCCGCTCATTTCCAGAACAGCACCAACACCACCGTGCCTACGGCTACGACGTTAAACGGGACGTACTACGGCGGTAAGCGATTGCGTCCCTCGAAAAATTCCCTCAATCTGTGTTACCCCGTGGATGAGGCTTGGCTGTCATGAGACATAACTAACAGGCGCGAATAGTTCACCATTCAAACTGGCATCAGGACTTCTTTGAGGGCATCCCCTACGCGCAGCCACCCACCGAAAGCTTGCGTTTCCGCGAGACTCAGTCACTGAACACGTCTTGGACTGGACAGAGAAATGCGACCGTTCTCGGATCCATGTGCTACGGCTACGGCGCCACACAGATGGTCCTGGGCCAGTTCATCTCCGAAGACTGCCTGACTCTCAACGTCTATCGCGCCTCCAATGTCTCCTCATCTAAGGGCTTGCTGCCGGTCGCAGTCTATATCCACGGCGGTCTCTTCGAGCATGGCACCGGGAGAGATCCACGGTACAACATGACCTCTCTCCTCCAGGTCGGTGTGCAGAACGGGCAGGAGTTCATCGGGGTCACGCTCAACTACCGTCTTAGCTACTGGGGCTTCCTGTATGGAAACGAAGTTGCTAACGAGGGCGTTGCGAATCTGGGTTTGAAGGATCAACGCCTTGCTCTCCGGTTCCTGAAGGAGAACATTGAAGCCTTTGGCGGCGATCCCGAGAGGATCACCATTTGGGGTCAGGAGGCCGGTGCTTTCAGCGCTGGGCTTCAGCTCCTCGCGTACGGTGGCCGGGATGACGGCCTCTTCCAGGGTGCTATCCTGCAGAGTGGCAGTCCGACTCTGATGTGGCCGTCCGTTACCGCCGACGAGTGGCAGCCTCTTTATGACCAACTCGTCAACGCGACCAACTGCTCCGCCTCGACGAACACCCTCGACTGCCTGCGCAGTGTTGATGCCGACGTTCTCTCGAGCGTTTTCGACAGCGACATAACTACGGACGACCGCCCGAACCCCGTTGTCGATGGCGACTTCATTCAAGACCTCGGGTCCAAGGAGATGCAGGCTGGACACTTTGTGCGAGTGCCGTTGATCCTCGGAACGACTCGCGATGAAGGCACTTGGCAACACTACGTTGTTAAGAACATCAACACGACAGATGAGTTTCTGCACATGGTCAGGGATGACGGGTTGAGTGAGGACGCTGCCAACGAGATTGCTCAGCTGTATCCTGATGAACCGGATCAAGGTATCCCAGCTACGCTGGAAGGAAGGCCGGGGAACGAAACTGGGCTTGGATACCAGTGGAAGCGTACGAGTGCGTATACTGGAGACATGATTATACAGGCTGGACGACGGCTGGCAAGTCAAGTGGTATGTGCTGAAAATTCCTGTGTCCTGAACCCTAGGGTTTCTTGTTACTGACGATATCACTTGTAGTGGGCCGGGAATGATGTCGACGTCTACTCTTACGTCTATGACGTCTTATTCCATGCACACTGGTGGCAGACCGGTTCTCAGGAACAAGACGACATCGCCTTCCTTTTCCACAACTTGACGCTATCCGAAGCTCTCAGCCCCAGCGACCAAGCTGATCAGAAGGACACTTTTGAGCCGTTGAGTTACCTGATGTGCAGCATGTGGATAAGCTTTTTCCACACTTTGGACCCGAATAACCATCCGGGTGAGTGGAATCTCCTCCGACAAGCCATGAAGGGTTCAAAGTTCGAATACTGACTTATTCTTCTTGCAGTGAACGGCACCAATGTTTGGCCCAAGTATAATGCCAACGGCCCCGAAAACTTTGTCTTCGACGTCAACGCTACCGAGTTGAGTCGCTCTGAGACGGATGATTTCCGCAGTGAAGCCATGTCATATTGGATTGATCTATTCAGCACGAACGAATATCCAAAGTAAACAGTTTACCAGCTCACCATCTCATCTGTATGAAAATACAAAATTTCATCTCTTCAATACAGCTGTTGTGGAGGTCTAGATGATCCTGGTCCTAGTCACCTTAGTGTCTTTCTATTGACCTCCTGTGATTCACATCTGTACAACTTCAAGTTGAAAAAAAAAGACATTGTCATCAATTGGCAACGATGTCGCAATGCCGCGAGTATTGTGGCGACATTTCATGACTTAAATCGAAGCACAAAAAGAAAGCGATTGACCTATCACAGACCTGCCCACCGTTGAGTCGTACTGCCAAGATCGCCAAGTCTTGGCACATGAGAACGTTCCTGGATCAGGCAGGTCGCGATACGACGCTGATGAAGCCAGCCTCTCTAATCCTTTTAAGCTTCCTTATTGAGCCTCTCGTCCCGGGATAGCGGCGCTGCCCAGAGGGTCGTGGCAATGAATTGAGTCAATCGATCCTGTCAACCTTGAACCTGGGACTCCAGACTCCCGCCGGGTTTAATTTTGACTTCCCGCGTCATTGGTTCGTGGATCCAGTTTACCGTAGAAAGCCGCACCACCGCAAAAGTGCCAGCATCATCAGCTTCCTTATCTATTGCCTTGGCGTGATCACGCGAGATGGTGCAGCATGCATGTGCGACCCAGTTGAGGGGCAACGCTCCTGCCTCGCACAGTCGCATTTGCTTTGCACCACGCAGAAGGAAAGCGCCCAGGAGGCAGGACCTGCGCAAGTTGACGACAGATACAAAACCAGAGCCCCGCCGCTCCTCTCGAACTTCGCCAGGTTTTCCTCACCGACCATTCACCAACCGCCCAACATGAGAACGGCCGCCCTCACTCTCGCACTGCCGGCTCTCGCCAGCGCCGCCAAGTGCAAGCCCTACGTCGACTCCGAGTCTCTCCAGGAGCTGATCACCATCGAGGACCTCCTCGCCGGATCCCAGAAGCTCCAGGACATCGCCGATGCCCACGAGGGCAACCGCGCCTTTGGCGGTGGTGGCCACAATGCCACCGTCGACTGGCTCGTCGAGGAGCTCGAGAAGCTCGACTACTTCGACGTCTACAAGCAGCCCTTCACTGAGGCTTTCGCCGGGTCGAAGGCAACTCTGACCGTGGCGGGCGCCGCCGTCGATGCGCGACCTATGACCTTCACGCCTGCTGGAGACGTCACCGGCGCCGCTCTGGTCAACGTTCCGAACCTGGGCTGCGAGGAGGCCGACTACCCCGCCGAGGTCTCTGGTGCCGTCGCCCTCATCTCGAGAGGAACCTGCAACTTTGCCGTCAAGGCCACCTTGGCCAAGACCGCTGGTGCTGTGGCCGCCATCGTCTACAACAACGCCGAGGGCGCTCTGTCGGGAACTTTGGGCGAGCAGTCGGATGCTTACGCGCCGGCCGTTGGCATCACCCAGGCCGAGGGCCTCGCTTTCGTTGAGAAGCTCGCGGCTGGCGAAGAGATCACTCTTGACCTCAACGTCATTTCCATTATTGAGGACCGTGTCAACTACAACGTCATTGCTGAGACGCGTGGCGGAGATCACGACAACGTCCTCATGATCGGCGGCCACTCTGACTCCGTCTTTGCTGGACCTGGTATCAAGTAAGTCCTCCCTTGCTCCATGTATTTTTTCCATCACCCTCGTTTGTTTGCGGACGTCGTCTTCACCATCTTCGTCGTCATCCTCGTCGTTCTTGGTCGTCCTCGTCGTTCTTGGTTATACCTGTCATCTGCCGTCAATGTTGTTAGCATTCTTGTCGATTATGTTCATTGCGTGCCATTATCACTGTCACTACCCTCCTCTTTCAAGAACCCAACTCATGATTCGTGGCTAACCATTCTTTCTCCAGTGACGACGGCTCCGGCACCGTTGGTGTCCTTACCGTTGCCAAGGCCCTGACCAACTTCGAGGTCAAGAACGCTGTCCGCCTCGGTTTCTGGGGCGCCGAAGAGTACGGCAAGCTCGGCTCCTACTTCTACGTCAAGCAGCTCAACGGCTCTGAGGAGGAGGTTTCCAAGATCCGCGCCTACCTCAACTTCGACATGATTGCCTCCCCGAACCCGAAGCTCGCCATCTACGACGGAGACGGAAGCGCCTTTAACTTCTCCGGCCCCGCTGGTTCTGATGTCATTGAGAAGGACTACGAGGAGTTCTTCGAGAGCAAGGGCCTGGGACACGTCCCCACTGAGTTCAACGGTCGCTCTGATTATGCCGCGTTCATCGAGAACGGTATCCCCAGTGGTGAGTTTGCCCAAATGAAGAAGCCGAGGTTGGCGAACTCATACTAATGGTGCACCGTAGGTGGTCTGTTCACTGGCGCTGAGGGGCTTAAGACTGAGGAGGAGGCCAAGCTCTTCGGTGGAGAAGTTGGTGTCGCCTACGATGTCAACTACCACCTGATTGGCGATGACATTACGAATCTGGACAACGATGCCTACCTTGTCAACACTCAGGCCATTGCACACAGCGTTGCCAAGTACGCGATGAGCTGGGAGACCATTCCCCCCGTCAGCCAAAAGAAGCGCAGATACGCCGCCGACGTTGCTCGCCACCTCAAGCGCGCTGCGGAGTTGACCGGCCACTCTCACGACGGGCCTTGCGGTGGTGGCTCACACTTCTAAGCAAGTGGAAGGATGACTAATATGAGTAGCTGAGTATTATGACTAGAGCAGCATAATTCGATAAGAATACGTAATGAGTTCATGAGAGACTTGCATCCCAACACTCCGTGACATCGACTTGCCAGCGCACTACTTGCACTAAGGATTTGTAATTGTTTGTTCTTGGTGGCTACTCTGATCTTCCAATGATCTCAGGCCGAAACAAATGGTTAGATTGATAGTAAAGCCGCCGCCCCCCGCGTGAGATGACAAGTTGTGCTCTGCCATCCCTGATCTTGGATAAAACATACTACTTACGAGAAACCGGTTAAAATGGACTTCGCCGCCATATACTCGCTGATCCCAACAGCTTTCGAGGCTGACATTTGAGCTGTTCGCCAGTGTAATCGCTTCGCTTTCGTCCTCGAACTGATAAAGTCCTAGGACGGGAGCGAACACTTCCTCATGCGTCGTGATTATTTCCTGCTTCATGTTAGTCATCAAAGAACCTCCTAGAATGACTTCGCCGCCGAGGCGTTTTGCATCTGTTACATAGTTAACACATGGCAACACGTTCAGCCCTAAAATGGCCCAAACTTTGGATGTGCGCCAAAGCCTTCTGAGTCCCGCCTTGATGTGTCAATGGCCCAACCTTGATGCCTGCTTGGATCCCGGGGCCGATTTCGAGTTGTTGCATTCTTTCTTTCATTTTCAGAGAGAACTCATCATAGATGCCGTTCTGAATGAATACTCGGTTAGCCGCCACACAGATCTGCCCGGAATTGCGAAATTTCGCGAGCATCAGAATCTCCACCGCGCAGACAGTCGTACATCCTGCAGCCAGAGCCGCCCCAGCCTTTCAGGTGATCATGGCTATGAGAAGGGTCCACGGTGCAAGCAAGGCGGCGACGACTAGGGGCTGCTGGATGGTCAGGATGCGTTGTCCGGTATTGGCGGCGGGGACGCCTTGGCCGTATACCCGCTCCGCCTCGCTGACGAAACACTCGAGGAATGAGGCGCCATATAGCACCTTTGTTCTAGCCTCAGCGAGGGTCTATCTGTAAGTCCTACAGGCATGCTCATGGCGGGTAATAGTGTGATACTCGACAGTAAACTGTTCGGGGAGTATGCGTTCCTTCGGAACCTGTCTTAACTCTAAAGCTGCGTCTGCGATCGAGGGTGGCGGGATTTTGACGCCAGGAAGAACGAGATCGTCCAGCTTCTGCGCCACTTAGAGGCAGGCAACCTTCCTCGTAAGCTCTGTTCGCGTCTGAATACGATCTAAGTACAATGGGTCTTCCTTCGGGTCGTTAGGACTATGTGCTAGATAGCAGAGGATGTTATGAAATGGCTGATCTTCTGGCACAATATTGGGTACCATGTCTGCAATGCCCAGTGACATGTATGGCTTGGTCGCAATTAAATTGAATTGTTGGTGTCATGACGGGATTGTTGGAAGCAGATCTGCCCATGTACCAAATCATCATCCAAAGACTCAATGTTGATATCAGTGCATTTTACCTCGGCTCTGCGAAACTTGACTGAGGTTGATTTAATATCTTCGTTGAATGCGTCACTCGTGGCAGTGAACATCTCTGGATCAAATCCAACCATACAGTCGAGCATCAGAGCGTAACCCATAACATTTCTCGCTCATGGTACTAGGTTATCTAGGGATTGGGTCAGCGTACAGAAGCCCACTCGAGACAAAACCCCAGGAGTGACAGAATACCCACGACATAGCAGGAGGATATGGGAAGTCGGCCTGAGGCATCGGTAGCTCAAACGTTTGGGCAAATCCAGCAATCAATCTCTGTCTGCCTTGAAGGCTGTTGTTCTCACAGGGGTTCCAGACGATGTTACTCACGCGAATGATGCACTCCAAACCGTAAACGCCTCTCGGCAGCTGATCATCCATACAGGTTCCCGGCGGAGCCCCCTGCGCGTGACGACAGCTACCTACGTGCCCGACTTACCCTTTCTGCCCATCACCTAGACCGTCGTTGCTTTGGACCTCAGCTCAGAATAGGACGACAAGCTAAAGATTTAGTGATTGGTGATGTGAAGGCATCTCAACGATGTGAAGCGCAGGGATATCGACAGATTATTGTTGATCAATACTCAGTGATAGCGCTCCCAATTCCCACTTTAATTAAGCCCACGTGAATCAGCGACCTAGATTATAAGCCCAATTTAGTGTTATGAAGCCTGGCAGAAGATGAGCGTCCTCCATTCCAAAGCAGGTATGTGTTTCCCTTCATGATGACCCTTTCTGCTGTGAGAGAGGTAAGATTTGACCGCCTTCGACCCAGGGAGAACATGTCTTAGATCCCTTCCTAATGAGTCGACCAACGGTTGGTTTCAAAAGAACCTGTGACCCTACGGCTCTACACTGAAATATCAGCGTTTCAACTATAAATTCGCGGCGCTATTGGTGCCTAGAAGCTCGGTTGGATCTCCGCCATACAATCAGTTGGCGATTAGGTTTCCGTCACGGTAGACAGGGAACAAAAGTTGAGCTACTGCGCCGCTATGTCGTTCCGCTGCGGCCGGATCACCCGCCGCCCGAAGGTTCCGCAATCCGGGCGACCGGGGTGAGCCAGGTCTAGAACAAACACGTCACGATTCAGGCCCCTGATGCGCGTACGACTTACCAGTAAGGGCCTCTTTTGCTACGAATCGTCGAATACTTGGCACGACCTCAGTAGCGAGACTTGGCAACATGAGCACCGAATGAATGATCAGCGCGCTGTGAAACAGCTGGCGGTACCTGAGGTCCAATGATGCCCTGGCCCCTGTCGACGGGTAATGAGCTGTCATTAGAGCCGGTGGGCCCGGGACCAGCCGCCCCTGCAGATTGCCAACTGATAGGAATCAGAGGACTCCAAACGGGCAGGCATTGGTGCGCCCTCCAGCCCTGCAGTCGATCAGGGGGAGCGCCACGCTTCCTTAACAGTTGCCCACTGCACGACAAGCTTTCCTCTTCCTGCATGGCTAATCCTTTCTTTCTCCCATCCGAAGTGCCGGCGCATTACGGCAGGCAGTCAGACTGACCTCTAACGACCGAATTATTCGAGAAGCTGTCCGCGCTTTTGTTTGCTCGCGTGACTTGCGCACAACATCACTACCGCTGCGGTGAGCATCGACAGCGATGGCATGGCAACCATGGGAGAAGTTCAAGGCCGACCACCCCGCCACGGCGGACCGCATGATTGAATCATGGGCCGCCGTCCGGCCGTATCTGCCTCCGGTCAACTTCATCACAGTTCACTACGCCTACTTCATACTGGTCGGGCTCATCTTTGCCGGCATCTTTCACGGAATCTCGAACCCGGCCAACAGTGTCAGCTTCATCGATAGCCTTTTCCTCGTCATCTCCGCCTTTACGACATCCGGACTCAACACGGTCGATATCAGCAAACTCAGTACCGCCCAGCAGGCTATCATCGCCTTGATGATGATTCTTGGCAGCCCTGTCTTCGTCTCCATCTTCACCATCTGGCTCCGCGCCCGCGTCTTTGAGAAGCGTTTCGAGGACATCGTCGAGGCCGAAAGAAACAGGAGGATCAAGAAGACTGGCACAATAGTGGGCATGGCCGGAGCCATGATTGGCCTCCCTGTCATGTCGTCATTTAAGGGAACCAAGCGGAAGCAAAAGAAGGGTAGACACGAGCGACAGGCCGAGGCAGACGCCTTCCAGCTCACGGGGTACAAATCCCGTGAGAAGGGCCACGACCGGAGCCAAAGCCAGCCCGCCAATCAAGACTCTGCACCACACGGCATGCTGGAGCCCATCGAGGAGGGCCAGAGGCTCAACCTCTCCATCAGCTCTACCGAGCCGCTCTCGCCCAAGTCGAATGCGACCCCCAGGCGGAGGCCTTTCAGTCGCGACTCAGGCCGGGTGTCCATCTCAGAAGGCTTCGACTTCAAGACGTTCATCCACGAGAACAAGACTTCAATCGGCAGGAACGGCCAATTTTTTGACCTCACGGAGGAGCAGCGCGAGTATCTGGGTGGCGTCGAATACCGTGCCCTTAAGATTCTCTTTACCATTGTCTGTGTCTATTTCGTCCTCTGGCAGCTGCTTGGGGCCATCACGCTAGGCGCCTGGTCATACACGCACAGCCAGAGTATCACAGCCGTCAACTCTCAAAACTCCTGGTGGGCTGGCATCTTTCTTGCCATCTCTTCGTTCAACAACGCTGGAATGACGCTCCTTGACGCAGGCATCGCAGCCTTTGACAACGATGCCTTCGTCTTGACCATTGTTACCATTCTTTCTCTGGCTGGAAATGCTGCGTTCCCTGCGTTCCTCAGAGCAACTGTCTACTTCTGCAGGTTTGTTCTGAAGATATGTGTTGATGAAGACGAGCACGTTGTCTGGAAGGAAGCTTTCGATTTCATCCTCAAGTACCCTCGTCGTCTGTATATGATGATGTTCCCTGCTAAGGCAAATTTTGTTTTTGTCACCATGTTCTCCACCATCGCGGTCATGGACTGGGTCTTGTTGGTGGTTCTCAGCATCGGCAACTCTGCTATTGAGGCTTACCCGGTTGGGAAGCGAGTTGGACTGGCCCTCTTTCAGGCACTGGGTAAGTCGCCAAAGGTTCTGCTTTGGTCCAGAGATTAACCCTGTCTTTAGCTATTCCCTCCTCAGGTTTTGGGGTTGTTGGCGTGTCAAGCCTCTATTTCGACGTTCTGGTTCTGTGGGTCATCGTAATGTATATTTCCGCATATCCGGAGATCATCGTCATGCGAAACTCAAATGTAAGTGGGATTTCGAGTCTAGCTGAGGCCTGTGCTTCTCACTAACATGGTTCAAGGTGTACGAAGAACGGTCGCTAGGAATCTACACCACGGAACCTGAAAAGCCTGAGGACCCAGACGCAACTGCCAATGAGTCAACAGATGAGCTCCTGCCAACCTTTGCTGAACCGGCGTTTGGCCATGCTCTTGGGTCAGAGCAAACAGCAGTCTCCGCATCGGGCGTATCATTGTCACAAGCAAAGTCCCATTTTTCCACCAAGCCTGTCAAGAGAATAGCCGCCATCGGCCGGCGCGGCACCTCCTTCGTGGGCAAGCAGATCCAGAGCAGGATGAACAACTTCCAGGGCGTGGGCGTAACGGCGAAGCCGCGGCTCAAGCGTTCTGCTGCCATAAACTTCGACAACCCGAACGCGGGCTCCGCCTCTACACCCGAGGGCCACGTGAGCCTCGTATCGCAGCACCTCCGAGGGCAGCTGTCGCACGACATCTGGGCCATCGCCTTCTCACTGTTCCTAGTCACGCTGATCGAGACATCCCATTCGATCGCGGACCCGCGATCCTACAGTGTCTTCAACTTCTTGTTCGAGATTGTGTCTGGGTACACCAACATCGGACTGTCCATAGGCCTGCCGGGCCACTCGTTCAGTTTTGCGGGCGGCTGGTACACGGGTTCAAAGCTGGTCATGATCCTGATGATGATCCGTGGCAGACACAGAGGCCTTCCGGTCGCGCTGGACCATTCCGTCAAGCTGCCTGGGTGGGATAATGTTAAGAAGCAGAATGAGGACGCTGAGATCAGACGGAGTATAAGTAGGAGTCGAACTGGGTTGACGATATAGACTTTTGAATAGACTTTGCTCTTGGATGGGCGGTAGACAATAGATCTCATTTCACGCTCAAAACTGCAAGGACCATGCTGCTCAGTGCCTCCCCGCACTGTTAGCCAGCTATCTCGTGACTACATGCGAAGATGTGAATGTGGTGTATGTAGGCCATATCGTCTTCCTAAGCCGGGTTGGCCTGCCTTCAAAACTGCGGCGAGGTTCCTCGTAAAGATCATGGGTGCTCGAGGAAGGTCTCTTGTAAATATCGTATCAAATTCTCCTATTCATGTTTTCGCGTTTGATGTTGATGAGATCAAAAAGTCCTTCCTGATGAAAGGCGCACTCGGCCTTGACAGTAACGATGACCAGCCCAAGGAGAAATCCTAACTAAGTTGACTTCTCTTTTGCTGGTATCCGCGAATGAGCACAATATGTGCAGCCTCTCGTGTGCGAGCAGGCCTGTGTCCTTCCTACCGTCCTATACGGAGCTGAGACCTGGTATGCAGGTCTTAATAAACCAGCTAGGAACAGCAGCACTATTACGACTACTAGCAGAAGCGCTACTAACCAGGTAGTAACTATCAGCACAAGGCAGAAA